ATATATATCTAATTCTTTTTTTTTTTTCTTTTTTTTTTTTTTTACTTTTTCGTACTTTCAATCATCTTTTATTTTCTTCTCAAGTTCTCATTTTTACAGATAGATAGAAATATCGGTAAACTCCTGATCTTCATAGCGTTAACTTCAAATCTCATTCGAGTCATTGTCGATCATACATCATCATGCGACAATAGCAAGGATCGTTGGGCTGTTGTTCTATTTTGATGCTCGATCAGAGTTAAGTCTTGCGGTTGTTTTCGTAAATCGGTAGTCGTAAATCTAATATCTCTTGCTCCTTTCGGTTTTGTCAGAACAGAAATCATTCTTCTGTCAAACTGTTGTTGTAATCCTCGATTGGACTAGTGAATATCATCTATTCGGCAACACTTGCAAGTCCACTGATTTGAGTCATGATGAAATTCGAAATGACACGAATTTTCGTTTTCTTTATTTTTTCTTTCTTCTTCCTTTCTCACATTTCTTCTATTTTTTTTTTCGTCTTTTATTTATTCTTTTTCTTTTCGAACTCTCCTTTCTTTTAATGATTGGAAATATTAATTTGAGAGATTGAATGATTAACAGTTTTTTGTTTAATTTTCTTGCTTTGCTTTAAGCAAAACGAGTATACGTTTGATACTGGCAGTAAACTGTTATGTTAGATCTTAGTAAGAAGTATTATAAAAAGTAGTAAAAAGTAAAAATTTAAAAATCAATACCATCTCCAGAATGCCTCAAATGAAATACACACAAAGAAAGAATAACCAGTAAAAAAAGGATAAAAATATAATAAGAATTGATTGTTAATCATCTTTCTTATCTTTTCTATGTTTCATTTGCGAAACTTAACAGATAATGCTGATTTCGATATTTTTTAATCCTTCTTCATTTATTTCTTATTATTTACTTTCTTTTTTATTCTGAAATAAAAATATAAAAATATATATAAAAGATATTATCTATTAAGACATAATGTATTTATAATATACTTATAACAAAAATACAAGTAGCATAAAAATTATATAAATTGAAGTTTAATTTCACTTGAATGTTAGTTATATGAATGTACATATATTTAAATATACGCAAGATAGGGATCTTTAATATATCGTGGAACATCATATCTTTATAAAATATTACAGATATTATATTCTTCCATTTGATTTCTTTTCAATAGTTCTTTTTTTAAATCTTAAATATAGCTTATTTCACTTATCTGAGCACGGCTACTTATATACACATGATCAGATTTATTTTTCTGAACAAAACTATTGTATATTTTTTAAAAGAATTTAATTCATTATTATTCACGTTATTATTTTAGCAATAATAAATCAATCGCCTTCATTATCAATGCCTATTTCAAAAAATTATTCTTGATTATTTTAGATTAAAATTTATCCATCCATTTAAATTTATTTAAATTTCGAATAATTTCTTAATAATAGTTAATCCAAGATCTTACTTTGAATACAACTATTTTGTTTGTGAAAATTTCATTTTTTAATTGCATGAAACTTTTGAAGTATCATTAAAAAAATTTTTATATATATTGTTTAATTCTGCCAAAGTCGTAAAATCTTATCCTTTCCACCGGATACGACACGACATCCATCTGGAGACCAATCCACTGCATAAATTTCGTCTGCATGACCAGGTAAATCTTGACAAAGTTTTTTCGTTTTTAAACTCCATACTATAACAAGAATGAAAAATAATTTTATTATAAAACTAATTAAATTGTGTAATGATTATGTTTATGCTATCATTAATCTATTTTTTCTTAAAATTTAATTTTTCATCAAAAATAGAATATAATAATAATAATAATATTTTAAATTTATTATTATTTATTATTATTATTTAAAATTTTTTATCAAATAAAATCTTTAACCAATTATCATCCAATTATTTTTCATAAAATAAAATAAAAATATATTGATATATACTTATATATATTAAAATAATATAAAAATATTTATTATTTTTATTTACCTTTTAAAGTAGAATCTGCACTGCCACTAACAAGTAAACGAGAATCTGCACTCCATGAGATTGAATATACAGCTTGTACATGGCCTCTTAATGAAGTTATATACATTCCTGTATTTGATTCCCATAATTTTATTGATTTATCAAATGAAGCAGATGCAATTATACGACCATCTGGCGAGAATTTTACATCGTTAATTAATTGCTGATGCCCTGTCATTCTTGCTAAAAATTTAGAGGGAAAAAAAAATTAATATTTTTATTTTATGAAAATCGTCTACTTATAATATATTATATATTATAATGAATGATACCAATGAATTTTTTTCCTTTTCTGGTCTCCACAGAAATAATGTAAAATCATCAGAACCAGAAACAAGTATTTCTTCACCCAGAGATTCATAACATTTTTTTGCATATTCTACACGAGTTTCAGTTTCATTTTGCTCTGTTCCAAGATGAAAAGGACCAGTTCTAAGTACATAGTCTACATTTAATGTTAAAGTATTCACCCAATGTGCATGACCTTCTAAAGTTCTACATAAAATTCCCTATATATTCAATTAATTTAATTAAATATATGAACATTTTATAATGAAATTTATTATATATTTGCTTTTTTTTTTATTTAATATGTTTTTCCTATGTATTGTAACTTACATCTTCAGCTCTCCATACTTTTATAGTTCTATCTTGTGAACCAGAATAAATAAGACCATTTCCACCCCATTTAACACATGTCACACTTTTTGTATGACCAGAGAGAATACGAACTGTTTGTGAACGTATTGTATCCCATATTCTTAAATCACAATCTTTTGAAGCACTAACTAAATAGTGGCATTCAGAATTTTTATGATATGGTTCCCAACATAAAGAAGTAACCCACATTTTGTGACCTAACATAGCTTTTCCTAAAAATGTATAAGAATCAAATATAAATTATATTATTTATATTTTAAAAAATTAGTTTATTTTTTATTAGTTTATTTTTCATTTTTTTATAAGTAAAAGTAATTTTTTTAATAGTTACCTATTTGTTTTCCTGTTTTTGGATCCCATAATAATATAGTACCGTTTTTACATGCAGATGCTAGTTTAGTTCCACATGGAGACCATGATATACATAATACCCAATGTTTATGACCTTCACATGTATAATATGGAGTTTGTGTATATATATCCCAAAATCTAACTGTTGTATCTCCAGAACCACTAGCTAAACATGTTCCATTAGGTGAAAAAGCAACTGATATTACTGCTTCTTTATGTCCTATATTTAATAAATATTTATTTTTAATTGATATAATATATAATTATAAAATTTTATAATTCTATATAATAAAATATAAACCTTCTAAAGATCCAGTACATCGTGTAATTGCTTTGACTTTAAAAATTGCTTGTGGTTGATATATAATTTCAATTATATTCTCACTAATGCTAAAATTTTCTTTGATATTATTTTCCAAATTATCTGTGATCTCAATATTATTTACATAAAAAGCAAAAGGTATAGGTTCTTCATTTTGTAGAAGTGTATTACAAATTGCTTGTAATTTATCAACTGTAATATTTATAGGTAAATCTAATAAACCACCAGGTAATATTTCACCCTTATCCGATTTAAAACGTGATAAAATCCGTTTAACTTTTATTGTTTCTGTTGAAGAATTTTCATTATTTTGTTTATTTTCATTCTCCTCTCCAAATTTTCTTTTATTCATGTTTAATTAAATAATTATTATTTAGATCTTTTTTAAAACAGTATAACAGTATAAGATATAACAGTATAAGAATTTTTATAAATTACAAAATTTTTATTAATAAAATCGTATTAATTTTAACATTATTTATATTAGAAAATAAAAAAAAATTTTTAAATTCATATAAAAATAATTAATTATTTACATAAAGAAATCAGTTATACACGTGGTTAGAAAAAAAATTCATAAACAAAACTTAAAAGTTATGATTTTGATTATAAAATATGATTCTAACCTAATTATATTTGTATCATCTATCTATTTATCTAACCTATTTATATATTATATATATTTTTAATTTTCAATGGAAATTTGAATTTAATTTAATCGTTGAAAAACTTTTTAAGATATTTAAAATATTTACTTTAATTATCAATATTTTTTTAAATATATTTTATTAAATAATCATAATGTATTTATTTAATATTTGTTTCTTAATAAATATTTATTAAAAAAAATTTATTTTTGCTTTTCTTTTGTTTTTTTTTTAAAAATATAATTTATAATAAAAATATTAATAATCAAGTCAAAAATATAATAAATAAGAAATTATGTAAAATTTATTTATAATTATCATTCTTTAATATTGATAATTTTAGAAATATATAATTTCAATTTAATATATAAAAATTATTTTTTAAAATCGCTTTTTTATGTAAATATTTGTATATCTAATTTCTTTATAGGATTAAAAAAAAAATAGAGTTATGCTTCTCACTTATCTAACTATTCATAGATAAAAATACGTTGACAACTATAATGATAAAATGGCGAGTTAGTATGTGTTGGTGGTTATTTTAAGATTACTTATAATTTGAGTGTAGGAAGATTTTTAATTTAACAAATTTATAATTCATACGTGTTATTTGGTTTTTACATTTATATGCCATGAATTCATTTGATTCGATTGAATTTACTCAATGTGTTTCTAAACTTTCCGATGAAGATCATAATTGTACTGCTATTGATGAAACTACCGGAGAATTTTGTGGTGAAACTGAAACTTTAAAAATTATCGATAAATTTCAAAAATTATATGAAACACGTATTGAAAATGTTGATCGTGAATTTGAAAATAAATTTGATCAAGTTTGTGTAAGTTATTTCTAATATGAAATTAATTTAATGCTATTTATTATTTATTGCTATTTTATTTGTATAATTTAATTACCATTTTTTTGAATTTATAAAAAAATTAATAAATACATATATATATATATTTAAAATAAATATAATTATAAATTATATATTTATAATTTATATAATTATATTATAATTTATATAATTTATATAAATTATATTTATAATATAATTATAAATATTATAATTTTAACATTGAGTAATTTAAATATAAATTTTTCAAAGTTTTTGTATATTTTTTTAACAATTTCAAATTCAACTTAATTAATAAATGATAAGTTATATTTTTTATTAATAAAACAATTAAAGTTATGGCAAATTATATATTATAATATAAAATTTTTAAAAGATTTTATTTTTTTTAACATACATTAAAAATATTAAGAATATTAAACAAATTTGTAATTTTTATAGAAAATTTCTAATTATATAAAAATATATTTTATATATTATTAATGAATATATATTATTAATATATTATTTAATGAAAGAACAAAAATAAATAACTGTTAATATGAAAGAATATATATTTATATTTTAATTTTTATTAATATTTAATAACTTATAGATGAAATTAGAAATTTCAAAGGAATGGATTAAAAATTTAAAGGAACAAAACGTTATGCTAGTACAAGTAGTAGAGGACTTAGAGCAAGCTGCTTGTAATAGAGTTAAATTATTGGAAGAAAAATTGAAACATTCATCAATGTTAGTTTCTGGAAATATGATAAAATCAACAAATACAGAGAAGGTATAATATTTAAAATTTTTTTCTCAAAAATCTTATTAAAATAAGATAATCAAAATTTATAATATAAATGTTTTAATTTATAATATAATTGTTATTATAGACTATAAGTACACTTTTAAATCGTGTAAGTAATTTAGAAAAAGATGAAGAATGTATGCAACAAAAAATTGAGTTTCTTCAAAGTGATATTAGAGGATTATTAGAATTAATACGGCGTGCTGCACAAGAAAATCATTGGACTTTAGATGATATAAAATTCTTTGAAATTCAACCTAGTGATATACCTGTTCCTACTAAGTAAGTTCTCTTAATCAAATATCTTTCATATGTATATGTATATTTTTCATATTACTTATTATTAATGATTATTTTTAGTGTTTCTAAATTTGTATGAATTTGATATATAACAATTTTTTTTATTAAAATTAAGTAACAGTTTCTTTTATACTTTTGCAGTTGTACCTGTGATCAGGTAAATATAAACATAGATGGTGATAAGAAATTCAAACTTAGAATACAAATTAGTCATGACTTCATGAATAAATCAAATTATCCATTAGACAGAAGTATTTGCATGATACATCCTTCCTATTCAACAACTCTTTAACTAAGCTTTTATTTTTTGCTATATATGTACATATATATTTTATATTTTTATTTTATATTTTAAATTCCTACACTCCTTTTATTAAATCCTTTGTTACATATACTATACAATTTTTATGCAAAATAAATGGTGGGTATGTAACATAATTATGTATAAATTGTCGTTTTTATTATATTTAAATTTTCTATAATGTATATTAATAATGATATATTAATTTTTTGAAATTTTTTGATTTTAAAACTAGGAAAATATAAGTCACAAAAAAGTACAATCTTTAAAATTGCAAATAAAAAATTTTGAAGAAAATGAAAAAAAAATGATTGTGTAAGTAAAAATGAAAAAGGAATTTAAATATTGAGAATTTATAAATATTGAGATATATAATACATATAATTGTAAATAATAAATTTTTTATTTTTCTAGACACCAAAAAGAATTAGAGGATAAATTAATTGATCTTAACGCAAAATTACAAATAAAGGAAGATACCATTAAAACATATGCTTTTCAGTTTCAAAATCTTAGTGATAATCTTAGAAGACGTGTTAAATTTACAGATCAAATTGCATGCAATACATTTGTAGAAAATAATCAAGAAACTTTTGATGTAAGTTAACATCATATCTTTTAAGTAAAATAATTAATATAGATTGAAATTTAGAATATTTATCCATATATGTATGTGCATAATACATGTATAATTCTAATAAAATAAAATAATTAAATATTAAATACATATTAAATAATAAATAATAAGGCAATCATGTTGAAATATTTTCAAATATATGAGATTTTCTAAACTGATAATGATAAATTATTTTTAAATTTTTATTGCCATCCAGATTATGTTAATGGCTGATATTGTGGAAAATCTATTGCTTGAAAAAGATGTAGAGATAAAAATTTTGCACGAACGTTTACGCGACGCGAAATCTAATTTGGCAATAACAGTTCGCGATAGCGATATAAATTTGAATAATTTAAAGATTCAGTTGAGTGAAAAGTACAAGACAGTTCAAGATATAGAGCAACAGATGGCTAATCTTCAAAAAGTTTGTGTTAAAACTTTTTGCTTGCATGTGTATTGTATTTTATTTCAAAATAGCAATTTAGTTATAATTTTATTTGTATTAACTATCAGGAATCAGTAGAGAAGCAAAGTGTTTTAACAGCTGAAGTGATGGAAAAAAATGAAATAGTAACTTCTCTTCAAAAAGAAATGACTATATTGCAAGAGCAATATCATTATGCAAATATGCAAATTCATTTTAAAGAGGGCATCATTAAAAAAATGCGAAAAGAACTAAGACGAATAGCTAAGGTATAAATTATAAATCGTGCATTTGTACATGAATAATAATGATACTTTTTATTTTCAGTGTCTATATTCTAATTTCTTTTCTTCTACTCATAATTGTTATAATAAAATTACTATTGATAATCAAGAGATGGAATTTTTTTGTAAATTATGTGAAAAAATTATTGTATCAAAAATGATGCAAACATCTGCAAAGCATAAAAATAATTCTATTTTACAAACTTATATTGAAAATATTTTGGATTGTAATAAATTAACAAAAAATATACCTACAATGAAAACAAAAGAAAATAATTTAGCAAATAAAACAATAGATTATTGTGCGAACACTGAGTTTAGTAAAATTAATATGTATACAAAATTTCATAATATTGATAAAAAGATTTTGAAATACAGTAAAAAATTGCCACCTTTTAATATATGTAAACAATCTTTGGACAACAAAAATGTTTTTATTTCTGAAAATTAAAATATATTGTATGTACATATGTACTAATCAATTGAAATATTAAGTTCTTATATTGATATTAAATATATATATATATATATATATATATATAATTATAATTTTAAAAATCTTCAATATTATATTCAATATGATTGCCATTATTAAAAATATAATATATATATTTCATTCATTTTTCTTTTAACATGCACATTAAAATCAATACTTTATTCATCTATTTATTATTAATATATTTTTTGTTTATATTTCAAAATAAAATTTCAAGAAATTCATAATATATAGAATGATTATGTTGATAAAAAAACTTCATAAAAACTTTTCAAGAGGTTGGTAAAATTATTTTAATATATAATATATATAAAATAATAATAATTTTGGTCCTTTTTTTATATCATCTAAAAAAAATTTTATTTTAATAAAATAATAAAAAAATAGTATTGCTAAATTTCAAATATAACTAATAACTTAAAAAATTTTAATTTAATTTAAATCTAAAATTTTATCTTTCCTTAGGATATTAAAAATCCAAGGAATTCTATGAATCAACAGGTAATATAAATATAAATATTGTAAATTTCAATATTTAAAAATTTATATATAATTGCTATTGTTACATATTATTATAAATGAATTATAATTTTTAGAATCAAATTGTATCATATTTGAATAAAGTAAAATCATTGATGGAACAAGAAAAGGAAGATCTTTTTAAGTTAAAAGTAGAACTGGAAAGAACTGTAGAAAAATTATGCTGTGAGAAAGATGAAGTTGGTAACTTTAAATATAATTAATATTTTAATTAAATTTTAAAATTATATATTTGTACAAATTTCTATGAAATATTCAGTTAAAAAATTTTAAATAAAATGTATAATTTTTTAATTCAGCAATTAAAAAAATAGCAATTAAAAAAATTTATTCAAATGCTTGATATATGCATTTATGTCATGTAATACATGCATTGAACTATTTTTAATTTAGAATTTTATTAATAAACATTTTTCAATTATTCATATTATCAATATTATAAAAAAAAAATAATTAAATTTAATAGAAATTTCAGAATTTATAGAAACGGAAACAGTTCTTGTCAATTAATTCTAATGATTTATTTCTTAATTGTAACAAAATATAAAATAAAAATTGTATATTATTAGTGAATTGTGTTGATAATGATATTCTCTGAAAAATGTTTATTAATATTAATTTTAAAATAGTTATTTTAATAAACAATATTTATAAATTTATTACAAAATTAATTTTTTTAAAATAATTCTTTTTAACAATAATATTAAAAATTATATTACATTATTATTACATTATTAAAAAATGATATATATATATACATATTTTGATATTTTTAATTGAACAGGAATATAAAATTGAATCTAATGAATCTAATATGGATAATATAAAATATAAATTAACTATAAATATTGAATATGTAAACAAAATATATTCAAAAAAGGATGAATTAATTGGAATAATTAATTCTTTAGTATGTATAATTTTTTATTATTTATTTATTTATTATTATATATATAAATATTGATTATTTATAAAATTATATTTTATATTGTTATAGCTTCAAATGGAAAATGATAATCTTTTTCATACAGAAAATTTAAATTTATTAGTAAGTATTAGTTAATATTTAAATTTTTTTTTACTTTAAAAAATAATATATTTTAAGGAAAATAAATTTTTGCTTAAACGTAAATCAAATAATTAAAAAATAAATTTTATATAATATAGATTATTTTATAAAGTAATAAATGAAAATTAATTATATATTTTAGCCAAATACAGATATTAATCAATTTAAATTAATGGATATATTTAGAGAATGTGCTGTTGAAGCACAAATTACTATGGAAGATATCAAAGATGAAATAAATATGATTGTTCTTCCTTTAAATGTAGACATCAAAAAGTAAATTATATATTAATATATATTATTATTATATATATATAATTTTATATTATTATATATTAATAACAAAATATTTTTATAGTATATTGATTTAAATAAAGAAGTTTTGAATGTACAAAATCAGTTAATAAAATGTCGAGAAAAAATAGCAAATGTGGTTAATAAATTACAATTACAAGTAAGAATTATTAAATGTGATTATATTTAATATTATTATTATTATATCATTTTATAATTGATACATGTTTTCTTTTTATTATAGGAAGAAGAAAGAGTAAGACATAATGATAGAATTATTTCAGGAGAGAATAAATTGAAGATATAAAAAATGAATAAATATTACTCAATCTCAATTAAGTCATGTCAATGAAATGCAGTCTAATGTACAGGATTCATATTTTTTTAAAATTATTTTTATTAATTAAAAAGCATTATTATAATTTTATAATAATTTTAACAAAATTTTAGGAAAATATGTCATATTGTATAGAAGACATATCTAACTGTACAAATATGTCTAATTATGACTTATTATGTTCAATAATTGAAGAAATAGAACAAACATCATCTAGTTTGCAAATATTTCAAGTTCAAGTAATTTTTAAATTCTTATTATTTAAAAATTAAAATATTAATATTATAAAATAAAATAATATTTAAATTATTTCAGGGATGTTGTATAGTAAAAGATCTTGAGAAATTGAAGAATCAATTTTGTGAAGTAGATTTATCCACAAAAAAAATTACATGACAAAATAGATGAAACAGTTAGTGTAGTAATTATTACAAATATGATTTCAATTTTATTTATTATCTAGTAAATAAATCATTATTTAATTCCATATCATTATTTAATTTGTGTTTTGTGATTTATAGTTGACAGAACATGATATAGTAGAAATAACACTATCACAAAAAGAACAAAAATTACAAAAATTGGAGGAAGAGGTTGATACAATTCATTTAAAAGTACAAGATGTATTAGAAACATTTTTTTCTTCAAAAGAACATGTATGTATTTATTTATATTACAATTAAACAAAATTTTGTTAATTTTTAATACTATAGATATATTTTTTAGTATTAATATATACATATATTTTATTTTAGATTTTACATGAGGTATTGCAAACTAAACAAAGTGTGAACAAGTTAAGAAAAGAATATGATGATTTAAAGTATAAACTATCGCAAGTAAGAAATTTATATGTATATATATTATTAAATTACATATATTATAAATCAATTGTTTTGTTTATAATGACTGTTTCACAGAAATCACTTCATTCAGAATGCGATAAAAAAACATGTTTATGGAAATGTAGAGTAACTGATTTACAAGATCAAGTTAAAATATTACAACACGAGGTATTTAATATTTAAATTTTGGATATTTAATCTTTATTGTTTATTTTTCATGTAATTAATTTATCAGTTTATTATATTTATCTTTATATTTGTCCCTTTATAGGTCAAATGCAATGAAGAAGCAAATAATTTTTTAAGAAATAATATTCAGTCACTAGAAGAAGAGCTTCATATAATACATGGAAAAGCAGATAATTACAGACGATCTCATTCTATAAATAATATGAAATTAAAAAAAAAAATCATAGAATTAGAAAATACTGTAAATATTACTTACATATAATATTTATTTAATGTTATTAAATAAAATTATTTATATATATCTATAATTTTAGCTTAAATTTCAAAAAGAAATTGAATGTACTCTTAGACGTGAATTGAATGATATCGAAATTGAATTAAAAAAATCTAAGGAATTATTAAATTCTTCTGTAAGTTTATTTCTTATGAATCATTTTTTTTTTTAATATAATATTAATAATAGAAATTTATAATTAAAGTAGATACAAAAATTAATATAAATTATATTTTTTATATTCTTTATTTAAATAAATAAAAGCACAATGAATATAGTATGGAAGAAACTTTGTTGCAATGTAGCTGTTATCAATTTAGACATGATACAATGGTAACTATTATTGATAATTTATACAAAATAAATATAATTATATTAAATTAAAATTAATAAATTTATTTTTATAGACTGCACATCAGTTATTTAAAAAATTAAAAAATAGCATAAAATGTACAAAAATTGGTCTTCAGGAACTTAAAACAGAACTTAAAAAATTGGTTTGTATAGATTTCTTTATTTTATTTATATTTATAACGAGTAGAATAGAATTTTAAGTAAAAATTATGTATTATAATAAATACATCAATTATTATTAATTATTATTATTAAATATTATTATTAAATATTATTATTTTAATTAATATCTTGCAGATTTGTGAAGATTCTAATTGTTGTTCTCCTGCAAGATCATTAATGAATTTATTGGAAATATTACAAAAACATGAAAGTGAATTAGACAATTGCTTTCAAGAAATTGAAGAACTTAAAAATACATTATATTCCAAAGATAAACTTGTAAGTATTATTGAACTTTGAATAAAATGACAGAATTGAAATATGAATAAAAATATATAATCATAATCATGTTTATAGATAGAAAATATGAAGGAAATTATTGATATTCAAAAAGATTCCATTGTAATGACACAAACTGAATTGAAAGAACTTCATCAAAAGTATCAGGAAAAGGTATGTTAATATTAAATCTTCTATTGCAAAAAGAAATTATTTTATAATATTTAATATTAATAATTCATTGTATAAAATATTTAAAATTATAAAAAAAACAATCTTCATAACAAAAGAAATCAAAAACTTTCTTTTTTTATAATTTGGAATTTTAAAAATTTCACTTTTTTAATTTATAAGATAAATTGTTCAATTTTTCAATTATTCAAATAATAAGAAACAATAAGAAAACTGTATGTCCAAAGATTGCAATCCTCATATTTCAAAAATCTAGATCTATATAAAATACTAATAAAAATACAGATTTTTTTTTGTTGAAAAATTAACAATTTTATATTATTATATAATTATATTATTTATCCCAAGAAATTTAAAATTAGAATTTAGAACAAAAATATATATTTATGTAATTTTTAAACTATATAATTTGTTAAAATATTACTGCAATAATCTTTTTAAATTGTTTCATTAAAAATGTGATTATTAATTCAAAACTATCAAGATTAATCAAAGGTATGTCAGTCACAAATATAGTAATTTTAATATATCATATAATATACATATTTTTAGATCGATAATCAAAATCAAATAATTTCTCAATATGAGAAGGAAAAGAAAGATTTATCAAAACAGGTTTGTATTAATTTTATATTAATAAAAATTATATAAGAAACTTTTATTTTCATATATGAAATTGTTTCTATCAAATAATAAAATTATATTTTGTTTTTTAGAATGAACTTCAAATTCAAACTATTGGTCATTTACAAAATGCTGTAGTGGAAGCTAAAAAATGTATAGATCAAATGGGAAATAGAACAGTGAGTGATATGAGTGAACAGTGGTCTGCAATTTCATCTATAACATTCAATCAAAGGAATGTGCATGATGTTTAAACGTTAATTTATAATAATTAAATATGTGCAATTAACTCATATAGATTATTTATATAAAACAATTATTCAATATATAAATAAGATAGTAATTTATAATATAATTTTTAAATTTTAATAATTATTATATAAAATAATTGAATTTGTTTTTAGTTTTTTTACACTATATTTTATATCTTTAGATTCACAATAATTATATATTCTAAAATATTTAAAATTCTGTAAATTTGTATACAATATTTAAATTTTAAAATTTATTTAAATAATATGAAAAATTGTATAGATATTTATGTAAAATATTTATTAATATTTAAAATCTTATTTTTATAAATATTGTTGACAATTGTTAAAATTGTTAAAAATATCTGCTAAGAAAATCTATTTTATCGTTTTAACATAAAAATAAATATATTTCTCTAAATAAATAACATGCATGTATTTGTTCCATTTTAATTAAATATCAATAGTTGTAAATTAATTAAACTAATATTTCTTTTTTAATTTCAAATACATAGTTAATTGTGTGATTTGATAAATTTTATACATAAAAACAACTGTGTCTATGTAAGTTATTGTTATTACATAAGCATTATTTTGAAGTATTATTTCTAGAAAAACAATCGAACTATTATTTGCAGTCTGAAGGAAAAATTGAAACTATTCGCTTATTGATGATATATGTAGAAGAAATTCAAAGTCAATATAATGAATGTTTTGCAGAGGTATTATCTTTTCTTTAATAATTAGTTTAATGGACATTCTAATATAAATAATATTAGTTGTTTATAAAATTTTTATAAACAATTATTATATTTATAATAATAATATAATTGAATTTATATAGGCAGCTGAACAGGACAAATTATTAGAGCTTCAACGAAATGCAATTCAAGATCTTCAACAAAAAATTATTTCCATGGAATATAATAATTTCTTAGCTATTAACTTTATTCATATTACACATTATTTCATTTTAAAAACAATACAGGTAGAGAAATATAAAACATTGTAATAAATAATGATATAGTAAAATGTTTGATTTATTTGTTCTAATAATAAAAAATATATATTTTCATTAAAGTTTTATTATATTTTAAGTTAAAATTTACATTAATTATTAAAATAAAAATAATTATTGTTAAATATCATAAATATAGTTTTATTTATAGTTAACTATAATTATAGTTATTAAAATTAAAGATATTTTTTTACTAATATATTAATAATTGAATATTTTCTAGGAACAATTGGAAATTCGTGTAAATGATATTCAATCTCTAAAAAATGAGGTATAATAATTATTATTAAAAAAAAATGAAATATATATTTTTTTTACCATTTATACATAAAATATATTTCATTTCAGATAGATACTCTGATACAATCAAAATGCTACTTGGAGAATAAATATTTAAATACAAAAAAACTATGGCAAGAAGCAGAAGAAAAATTACAAGAATTAAGGTAATATTTTAACATAAAACTTTATTCATAAAAATATATAAAATATTTTAAAAATTATTGTTAATTGATTTAGAAAAGGAACATTAAAAACTGAATATAAAATAAAAACTGGAGAAGATAAAGAATGTCAATACAAAATAGAAGTTAAAGATAAAAGCTGTATTACTCAAAATATATTTGATTGTGAAAATATAACATATGACAATAGAAAACAATGTACAAATTATTCATATGAACACGACTTACAAACAGAAATTGAAATTTTAATTGGAGAAAATGAAGATATGAAAAAGCAATTACAAAAATATAAATTAGATTTTGACATAATTGACAAGGAATTGAAAACAGAAAGAGAAAACGATATTTATATTCAACAGATTTCATTTGAATTACAGAAATTAAGAGATACAGAATGTTGTTTACAATATGAAAATGAACAACTTAAATCTGATTTAAAAAAACAAACAAAAAATACAGAAGATTTATTGGAAAAGTTACAGTCTACCCAAGAAAGTAGTACGAAATTTGAAAAATTATTAAAAAAATTAGAAGACAAGCAAATACAGGTTTTTTATTTTATTATATTTTAATAAAATAATTAAATAATTTTTGAAATTATAATTAATTAAATAATAATTTATAAAAATGTTTTATTTCATTGTATTTAGATTAATGATTTATGCAGTCAAATTTCGAATAATGAAATTGTTATAAAAAAACAAACAGAAATTATTGAAGAATTTGAAAAGAAACTAGATATAAAGAACCAACAAATCAAAGCATATTTATCTGAATTAAATGAAGCAGAAGAAGAAATGTCAACTTTACATGAAAGAATACAATCTCTAAAAACAATGTTAAAAGAAAAATCAGATAATATGGCTAAACTTCAAGCAGATTATGAAGTAATAAAGGCATGTTTTAATATTTTAGATGATTTATATAATAAATTATACTTTTTATTATATTGTAAAAATATAATATTAAAAATATTATAAATAATTACAGAATGATAATTCTATATTGAAAATGGAGAATAGCAACTTTGAAGATAAAACTAAAGAAGATATTTGCCAATTGAAAATCATGGTAGATATTTTAAAATATCTTAATATATATACATATTCCTCTCTATATATATGTACATATTTATATATCTAATATTATCTATATCTATTTAATTATTATTATAATTTCAAAATTATAAATTTCTTAAGATAACACCTATATTATCTTTTTTTTCAGTTAAAAGATCTCCAAATGCAATTATGCTTTACTGAAAATAACTATTGTAGAGTTACAGAAGATTTTAATAAAGCACAAGAACAATTAATTATAATGACAAAACGAGAAGCTGATTTACAAGAATGTTTAACAAACATGGTATGATATTATTTTTAAATGTTTTATTTAACATTATTTATTTATTTTAGATGTTTAATTTATATAACTTAATAATAAGAAAATTTTTTTATCTTTTTATTTAATTATTTTAGGAAAGAGATTATTGTTTAAAATTATCAAGTATAGAGAAAGAAAAAGTTATGCTTGGAAATTGTTTAGATAAACTCAGAGATGAATTGGAAGAAATTCAAACAAGCTATTCATCAAAAAGTACTGAACATTGCAATCTGCAAGATATTTGTAAATCTTATGTAGAACAATTAGATATTTTACAACAACAGGTGAAATTAATTTAATGTTTTTATATATTTTTTTTTTACGTTAAATAATATTAATTTCAAATATTTTTTATATTTTTAGATTGAAGAAGAAAGAAAAAAATATAAACAAATAGAAGAATCAAATCGTTGTATAATACAGCAATTACAAGAATACAAAGAACAAAATAATAATCTTGTTAAGGAAAAATCTATAATAGAACAAAATAATTGTGAAATTATTTCAGAGGTGAATATTGAATTATTTTTAAAACAAAATATTTTAATATATAATTTCAATAAAAATTATTTGTAAATTTGTGAATTTTCTTTAGTTACGAGAGACACACAAATCCTTATTGGAATTAAAAAGAGAATGTCAACTAAAAAATAAGTCTTTGGCTTGTATATCAGCAGAATTAACAGAAACAGCAATGAGTAGATCAGAACTTTGTAATCAATCACAATATGTTGTTTCTTGTATACGTATTTGGATGGAAGAACAACGAGAATATGTAAACAAACTTAGTGCAAAATTAAAATCTCAACAGCAGGAATTAGTACAAGTTGGATTTGAGAAAAAGTATGTATTTTCAGAAGTCTCAAAAGCATATTAATATATATTTTTAAAGATTTATAAGTTCATAGTTACTAAAAAATTATGAATAAAATAATTTACAGAATATTAATAGATGAAACAAAGCGATTAAGACATATCAATCATGTATTAATGCAAAGATTAAAAAGAGTATATCGATATAGTAATAAGAATGTTAGAAATGTTTGTGTAGGATGTCAAATATTACCAAAAAATATTGATACACGTTTTCCTGCAAACTCCAAATATTTATCATCACAGAAGGTAATCACATTAAAAAAGATATGATTTTTTATTTTTTTTTATTATGTTTTACATTTAAAATTCAATATTTTGATTTATTATTAAAAATAATTCGATATTTTTAATTTTGAATATTTTATAATTCACATTATTGAAGATTTTATAATTCATAATAATTAAGAAATTTATTAATATGTTATATTAATATATTAATATATATATATATGAAATAATAAAATAAAAATATATTTTATTTTTTCAATTTTAAAAAATATTAAATATTAATAAATATTAATTCTTAATAATTTATTTATATTTATTTTCTAAAGCTATTTATACTGATATTCAATCATTCATTTAATTATTATACTCTTAAAAATTCAGTTATTAAAATAATACTATTATTAAAATATATTTTTAAATATTTCATAAAATTATATTTCGTTTTATTCTGGTTGAATTTATTTATTTATTTATATATATACATATATTATGAATTATAAATTCTTTTTATATATTTTTCATTATCTCTAATTAAAATATTTTTTTTATTTAGAAACTAAATTTCATGAAGGCAACACGACGTATTTCAGTATGCAATAATGGTTGGTTGTTTCCTAAAATGAAATATTTAGTAAATGAATTGCAAAAAAATAATATAGAATGTAGTGAAAACTGTTTTAACAGGATGAATACAGATGTAAGATTAGAAGAAAATCACGATTGCGGTTATCAATCATCTACGAGTAAATGATATATAGAATTGCTATTATGTCTATTAGAATGAAAAAGAACTGTATTTTGTAATACACATACAAATGATTAAATTATTAATTTATCAGACTATTTTATACTTCTTTCTATACAATAGAATTTCTTTTTATTCATCAATCCAAATCAATGTAAATATACATTGAGTAAAAAATACAATTGTTAAGTGCTTTTTTTTTTAATTTTTCATAATTAAATTTTCTGAAGTACGTGATTTTATAGTAAAATGATAATTTGTATGGCAAAGAATATGGAGTAATACAAGATTTTTAATGTATAATTTATGAAATAATTTAAACAAAAGTTTGCATTCTGTTATAGTAAATACTTCCAGTCCTTTTGGAGGATACTAAAAATGACATATTGTAAATTTTAAAAACGTTTACTTATTAAATAATATTATGATAAAAATGAAAATACAAATATACAATACAAAAATACAAACATTATCTAATTCATATGCATTGATAAATTGCATATAAACTTCACTTAAATGTTATTTCTTTCTTTTAAATGATAATTTTTTTTAAACTTTTTATTTTTTTATATTAATATTTACTATTTTATACTACATAAACTATATAAACTATATAAATTTGCTTTTTAATTACAATATATTATTTAAAAACACAAAATAGAATTATGCATTTGTTCATGTAAGTAAGATTCATTATTTTTTAACATATGTATTTAGTTACAATTTTTTAGGTATATTATAGGAATATTATAAGAAAATAATTATATTATTTAATAAATAAAAATTAATCAAAAAATTAAATATAATCTTATCTTTTGTTTATATTTAAAAAAATATATATATAACGGAAGTTATCAAAATTAAATTAAGAAAATGCATATGAAAAAAATTTGTTTGTATGTTTCATTAAAAATCATAGCATTCATTAAAAAAAAATAAATTATAGTATATAACTGAATAATTTGACGAAAATTTGATAATATACAAACCAAAACAACATGTAATAAAATAGTTTTATTAAAAAATTGATAGACTTCTTGAACTGTCAACCATGGATGTGAAAGAAAAAATAAATGTGTTAAATACACAATACCCAAACATGCAGAAATGCTTTTCTCAGTGAATAAATTTAATCTAAAATATAATTTAATAAATATTAATTTATAGATCATTATGATTAATTTTTGAAATATGTAATTATAGAAAAAAGATATATAATATAAATATGAAACTATTACATAAATTAAAAAAACAAGATTTTTATTTTCAATCTATAATTTATATTATATACCAGTGACAAATTTTTAAATAAAATAAATTTCTTATAATTTTAATATATTCAAATACCTAGCAAATTTAAAGAATTCCCATAATACATTTGAAACAACAGTATTATTTTTTACTGTAGTTTCATTTAACAATTTATTCTCTGGAAAAAAATTATATTAATTTATCTTACATACATAATTAATATTTACCAAAGAAATATATATATTTATTACCAAAAAAAGAACTATCATATTTTTGTTTTCTTGATTTTTTTTTAGATAAGTTATGTCCTCTTCTGTAAAATATTTCCAAATGCACAAACTTGGACAAGGTATATCAACATACTGACTATAAAGAGGATTTTTTGAATACATCCACGGTCCGCACAAATCGTCATAATTTACATCTGAAACGATTTGAATTTCCGAACAGATTTTTCGTGAAATTGTTCGAATATGTGATATTGCATATTCTGATAAAGTTGAGCGTTTAACATTTATAATCGGTTTTAATTGCTCTTTTTGATCATTCATTTCAATATGATCTTTTATTGTAAATTGATTTGACATTATTAAATATTTTCTATTAGAGAACAAGCTATATATATATATATGTATATATATTAAAAATTAGGTACATGTAAAGATTAAATTGTGGACATTCAAATTGATAGAGAAGATGGAATATCAAGTAATTAACGGTTTGTGTTGATCGTGTTTTTTAAAAAATTAATATATATATATATATATACACATTTTATATTATATATATTATATAGTATATGTGTATATATGTATATATATATATATAAATATATATTAATATTAACATATTTTAGCAAAAAATATTATATACAATATATAGAATAATACATACAAATCTATATTAGATATTGATATCTATAATTTCATGTAATATTTTTTAATATTATAATTTTTAAAATAATTATCGGTGCAAACGCCATTAAGCTTCATATACATTTTTCACGATAGAATGAAATAACATAGAAATTATTTTCACATATACTTAATTAATGTAATAGAGAATAATTTTCAAAATCATAATTATATTTATTATAAGAATTAATATAATTATAAAATATTAATATACTATTATTAAATATTATATTTAAAATTAAAAATATGAATAAAATATTATATTATTCGCTTTTTGAATTATGAAGATTTATAAAGATTTATAAATATTTATAAAGATTATAAAATGCATAATTTATATTATTTAAAAAGATACAATACTTCGATAAAAATTTAAAGCTCTTTACAATTCAAAAGGCAAAATAAATAAAATTTCAAATTTTTTTCAATTTCTTCGAATTTAAATGCATATTCTCTGAACATACAAAAGAATAATATATCTTTCAAATATTGCACGATGATGAAATATGAATAAATTCATATTTACAGAAATGCAAATATTTCGTTTATTGTATTTTACACAATAATTTAATAATGATTTTTATATAAATATCAAATTTTAATTATTCTGCATCTTAGTTTCAAAATTCAGATTTATTTTTATTTCAGCTTATATAATGATTTAATAATATTTAGATGAATTTTTGAAAATTATTTTAATTTAATAAAATGTTTTTATAATTTTTAATATAGATTATTTATTAAATAAATTTTTATTTAAAATATTACTTGGAAATAAAAATCTAAAATCAAAGATCACAGAAATATTTTGTATGTATGAAAAAATATAATTTAAAGAAAACATAATTTTTAATAATTTAATGATAAAAACACTAATGTTATTATTAAAAATAATTTCCAATTTTTGCTATTATTTTATATGACAAATATTAAATAATTTTGGATGAAATTAAATTAATTGGTGAATTTGACGAAATCCTTAGTAATATTCACAAGTTTATTTTTTCTTGCGTAATCATTTATAATTTATCATGAATTATTATATAATAAAATTAATATACAATATATTTCGGAGCAAAAATTTGTTATACATGTTTACAAACTAAGAAAGTAAATACATAGGTAATCATAGCAGCAGGAATGGCCTACTATCTTACAAGATGTTTTGCGTGCCAAAATTTCATCATACATTGTATGTTTTAAATGTATATTATCATTACTAATATTAATGTTATTATTATTTATATATCAATATTATCATTAATATTATTATTACTTATTACCATTAACATTACTTATTACATAAATCATATTTATTATATATGATTTATATTATAATTGTATTTATATATGAATATATATATAAATACAATTTATATATATATATATTTATATATTTATAACGAACACCGCCCATTACTACTAGCATTACAAATGGGAGCTTCATCTGTCTCTGTCTCTCTCTTTTTCTTCTTTTTTTGATAGATCTGATACTCAAAATAGATGATATATCGTCGAATGTAATGTGATACACGCATTTTTTTTATTAATCACTCAAGAAAAATGTTTATCTTGCACAGTTCACCTCCCATTCCATTATAGTGGTTTTTTCCATTGTTTTATTTTCCATTCAAATATATATTCATTGCAGACACACTCATGGTGTATTTATATTTGTAGATTATAGTACAAATCTGTAAGCAAAAAGTATATTTTCTACAATAATTCAGAAAAATTTCATAAATAAAAATAAATATTTTTTTAAATTAATATATTACTAATACAAAAACCTATTTTAAAACATTTATTTTATTTTATTATATTACATATATTGTGAAACTAATATCAATTGAATATTTAATTCTTTATAATTTGAACTTAATTATTATTAAAAAAAAATCAATATATGGTAAATTAAAGGTAAATTAATAGGTAAATTAATATATTCAATAAATATTAAAAATATTTGTGATTTAAATAAAAATAATTTAAAATATATATCTATATACACTTTATGACTTCTTTTTATATTTATAGATTAGTTAATTATCTTGTGGATAAATTATACTAAAGATTACTACGATAATTTTGTTTATCCTTGATTCAATTTTAAATATTATAAAAAATTATAATTTATTATTATAATCTAACTAAATCATTAAATAATTGATATTTTTATAATCTATATTACTAATTATACTACTATAATATTATCAGAATATTTTAATATAAAAAGATTATAATTATATATATTTATTTAAAATAAATATAAAACAAAATACAGAAATAGAAGATGTTTTAAACAATTTTATTTTTAAGATACTTTTAATTAAGTATTTAATCAACTATTTTGAATATTTACTTTAACTAATAAATACTTCTATTTTTAAATAAATTAATTAACACTTTTTAATTTATTGTACTTTCTCTTATTTAATTTAATTACTAAATACATCATAAAAATTTAATAAATAAAAAAAATTTTTTTTAAATAAACTAAACAACGATTAATATTTGAATAACATTGATAAAATTCTGATCAAAATAAAAATATATAAAAATTTTTGTATTTTATAATATTTAAATAAAAATATTTATCAAATTTATTTATTGTTGTGTTAATTAAATTAATAAATCCAACTTTTAAATAAAAAATTAATATTTTCTTTAATGTCATTTTATGATTTACAATAAATCTACAACAAGATTGTAAATATATTACAAGATTGTTTTTACTCTCTTGTATATAACAATATAATTAATATTGTATATTAAGTATATTATTCACATTATTAATTAAATAATAAATATAAAAATAAACGAAATATGAATAATATATAACATTATTAATCATTCTACATGTAACATTATATAGTAGAATTTGCAAAATTTAACATGAAATATATAAAAATTACTTTTAATTAAATGTAAATATATATATGCATATATATGCAATGCCATAAATGATTAAAAAGCAACAGATTCATTAGAAATATACAAGTGAAAAGAAAAAAAAACAAAATGTTAAATTGCGCATTATTACTTTTTTCAATATTAAATCTACAAAGTTATATATAATACATAAAAATTATGCAAAAATATACTTATATAAATACAATTTTATATTTTAAAAAAATATTTATTAAATGCCAAAATATTTGGAATTTATAAGTATTTATCTCAAAATAAATATAAAGTTAATGAAAATTTATAATAGATAAAAATATTAATGTAAAAAAAATCATAGTTAAATAATTTTTAGTTTTTATATTTTTATGATGTGCTCATTTTATAAATGATTCTTTTAATTATTAAGTAATTTTTGACAAAGTTAATATGGAATTCATCTATTTATTATATTTTAAAAATTCTACTAGCTTTATAAAACACTTTTTTAATGTAAAACATCAATTATTTTATGCAATAATTCAAATAAAGGAATATTAATTCAGATTTTTATATTTGCGTGTCTTTTTTACTTATTTAATAAATATTAAAAATAAGTCAAAGTACATGCAATGAAAATATTAAACATAACAAAAAATATGTTGTGTACTCAAATATATGTACTCAATATGTACTCAAATAAGACTAATACAAAATTTTGCATAGAACATGTAAATTTTGCATAAAATATTTAAATTTTAACTTAATTGGTATTTAATTATTTTTATCATTGAAAAATGATCTATCAATGTCTCTATTCATTATATATTTTAACATTACAAAAATATATAAACATAATATGCTACTATATCAAATGCTATATCTAATGCATATATATCAATTATTTTATGATTTTTTTAGATATCATATTCTTTTATCATTTTTGATGAAAATAAGGTGTCAAATTTTAATTAATGTAAAAATATATACCAACATAATATTTGACACGTACAGATTTGGATAATCACTTGCAACAATTGCCAGTTGCTGCCTTTTGTCCTTCTGTCTCAACCAATCGACGACCTTGACCACTTGTACTTGCACTTCCTGATTGTTCATTCTTTGGAAGTTTTTTAGCTGTAATATGATAATTAATAGATTTATTTAATTTAAATAGATTAAAATATTATATAATAAATTCAAAGAAACTTTAGAAATTAATATACATTTTATATTATTTATATAATATAAAATATATAAATGCTATATAATATTGGCTCAAAAATAAATATATTCTATTTACATTCAAAACTGTATTGCATTTACTGGCAAAAAATTAGGCTTTTGAAAATAATTGATTGATATTACTTTTGACTTATAATTAATTCTTTAAATATCTTAAAGACAATAATAAAAACCAATGAATAATGAAATAGAAAAATATTTGACTATTATGATCACTATATAGTCACTATTATGTGACTATATATCACAACATAATTAGAATAAATAACTCTAAATGATAAAAAATAGAGATAATTTTACATTTACATACATTTTTTATCAAGACAATATTGTATGATTATTATACTGTATGAAATTTAATAAAATATTATTTCAGATTATTTTTCTATATTACTTAAATAGATTAATTAAACATAATTAAACATAAAATATAAATACTATAATTTTTTATAAAATAGATTTCATTCATTAATATCATTAATAAATATTTAATATTAAAAATATAAAATTTTTTATGATAAAAAATATAAGAAAATAATCTTACCAATTGCCAAAAATATATCATTAACATTCATTGCTGTTTTAGCTGAAGTTTCCATGAAAAGAAGGCCATTTTCATCAGCATAAGTTTGAGCTTCATCAAATTCTACAATTCTTTTATTTGCAAGATCAGCTTTATTTCCAGCTAATGCTATAACTATACTTGGACTGGCTTGTCGTTGCAATTCCTTCACCCACGTTTGGGCACGTACAAATGTATCCTGCAATTTAACATAATTAAAAAAATATATGTATTTAACAATAAATATAAAAATTAGAAAATAATTTATAATAACTATTAGAAAAATAATGATAGATATCATATTAATATTTTTATTATTATTACAATTGATTTGAATTTTTTTTTTACACTTTTTGACATTCATTATTTTATAATTACATATGTCACTTAATTTATAAATACCGTTTTTAGAAATATTACTAACTTTTTAAAGTCACAAGTCACAATAAAATATTTTTATAAAAAAATATCAGCCTAATATAACATTTTTATGAAAGAAATCAGAAATTATTTCAAAAATTCTATTCTATTAAAATAAAAATCAAAACATAAATGTAAAATATGTTACATATAAAATTCAAAACATAAATGTTATATATCACATATAAAATTGAATGTAATTATTTGCTTGTTTTTTAATTATATATCATAAATATTATATATAGTTTTTAACATACATAAAATTGTATTTATAATTATAATTTATATATTTAAATAACTAAATTTAATAAATCTGTACTCACTTGATTTGTTATATCATATACAACAATAGCTGCTTGTGCACCACGATAATACATTGGTGCAAGACTATGATAACGTTCCTGCCCTGCAGTATCCCAAATCTCAAATTTTACAGTTGTATCATCCAAACATACAGTTTGTGTTAAAAATGCAGCTAAAATATTATAATATAAATATAATTATATTATTCAATGATCAGATGCTCATTAATTATAATTTATTTTACTTTTATGTGATTAATATTATAATTAATATTTAAAAATATTGAAATTCATACCTCCAATAGTACTTTCTTGATACTCATGGAACTGTCCTTTAACAAACCTCAAAACAAGACTTGATTTTCCCACAGCAGATTCTCCAAGTAATACCAGCTTAAATTGACAAATTTTTCCTTGTGTCGAACCATTCGGCCTCTGGGCTGTACCCCGATTAGCCATGATCACCTATATAAAAAATTTATAAAAACAATAAAAAAAAATTACTTAATAAAATTAAATTTCTTAATATTAATTAATATTTTAAATATTAAATTTAAAAATTTCAGTTTATATATATATTTAGTAGTTCTCTTTGTAAGTAGTAGTAACATTTGTAATAAGGCTAAAATTATATTATAATAATTTAAAAGTAATTAAAATATTAATTTTGTTTTATTATTTTTAATAATTTCCATTATATGCTTCATAAACAAACAGCAACACAAATTATATTATTTTTGATCATTTTATTATTTTTTGTTCTTTTTTTTTTACAATATAAAAAAATTTGTATAAAATATTGTAATTTTGTATAAATTTTGTAAAATATTTAAAATTTATTGACAGCTTTGTTACAATTTACAAAAATATTAAAAACACAGTTTTATATTCACAAAAATTCTAATATCTATGAACATAAAATTTTTATTATTTTATATTCAATTTTTTATATTATTTTATGTAAATTATTAAAATAATAAAATTTTATATATAAATTAAAATAATTTTCAAGTTGGATTTTAAATTATAATATTATTTAAATTCTAAAATAATTTTTAATTTTTAATATTTAAATAAACCTTTAAATCAGTAGATAAATGTCTAATTATAGTGAAAGTCCATATAAATAGATAAGACTTTCATTTATATACTCAGTAATCAACATTCAACTAAATCTTTTAAGTTGAATAATATGAATTGACAAATGTACAATGAATAAATTTCTTTTATAAAATTTAAAATTTTCAATAAAATATACAAAAATTTATAAAAGTTTTTTAACATAAAATTTTTAGAAAGACAGATTTTTAAAAAAATTAATATTAAATTTATTATTCACAAAAAATAAAAATTTAAAGAATATAAATATTAATATAATTAAATATAATATAAATATTAATAAATATTAAAATTTTGATAAGAGTTTGAAAAGATTTAAAAAAAATTATATTATATTGCAAAAAGAGAAAATAAAAAATATTTTTTTTTATAATTGTGAAATTCAGATTTTTAAAATAAATATCAGAAATAATAAAAATAATAATAAAGTTTTTTGTATTATAAAAAAGGAACTATTATTAAAGTAAAACATAAATAAATTAAATACTTTATCAATTTCTAATTTTGTAATTTAACTTCCTACTATTTTATATAAAACAAATATAACATAAATTCTATATAATTTAAAATTATTCAAAAGAATTGATTATAAATTATAAAAGATTAACTCTATATGTACTACATATAAATTCGTTTAAAAAAGATTCAAAGAAGGAATGCTAAAATAAAATAAAATAATATCTTTGTATATTTTGTAATGAAAATAAATTGATAAGTATTAAGTCGCGATCACATTGTGTGAAACATATGAAACTTTGATGAATTTAATAAAAAGTAGATAATTGACTTGCATAAATGCGTACGTAAAATTTGATAGCTACTCTGTTGCAATTATTTTCTAAGTCACTTACAAACGAAAAACACAATAAGTAAAACCAACGAAAAATAATAGTATATGTAGTTTAACCCATTAAAACGAAGACTTTGTTAATTACATTATCCAATTAGTCGCGAAGCGAGTTTTGACGAATTGAACAGTCTGGTGTTGTTTTGCGATAATGTTACGATTGATAAAACCAAATAGACTCTCTAAATGATAATGTGTAGTCTGTTTTAATGAAGAATGAACAGTGAGAATTGGTAACACGATGACTAAACGCAGCAACTTCACGGTAATCATGAGATTCGCGTAACTTGCGGCGATGAAAAGGAAACAGGTCCGCATCGCGCGAGCCCGTCCGGGTACAGGCTATCAGAAAAAAACGTTCCTTAGAGAGAGAACAAACTAAATGAAAAAATATATATATATATACACAATATAATCTTGTATTTAAAACAAAATGAAGCTACGTCAAACTTGCATACTTACAAACTCACCCCAAACTTATCTACGTAACCAACACCTCATAACCTTCGACAAAATAGCATTATTGAAAAATCACAAGAAACCGTTAAAGCGGTGCATAGGGACTGAGAAAGAAAGAAACCGATAAGGACAGACAGAATTCTGTGTACGCGCGCGCGAATTCTCTTTCTCTTTCTCTCTCATAGACACACATGTAGATGTTCACATAGATGTCTCTTTCTTTGTTGCGCTTATTAATACTCTATTCTTTTTTTTTCTTATTTGCTTAATTTACGTTTCGTTAGTTCGCTTACCACTATCTCACCCCCTCACTCTATCTCTTTCTCATTCATTTATTCATTTGCAATATTTCTTTCACTCACTCTTACTTTATCTTTCTCTCTTGAACTCGTTCATTCATACTATATCTTTTTCTTTCCCTTTGCCTCTCTCTTCAGATAGATAGAGAGGGAGGGGAAGAGAAGCAAATAAAGGGTGTAAGCGATGCGCCACGATAGTTACAGTTCTGAGTACTTGTCACCGCCCGTGAAACGTCAGCAAGATCTGAAATATCAAGAAGCCAAAGCAATCTACGAACTGAGTGAAACGACAAAAAGAATGCACAGTTTAAAAGAATTGCATGTCGTAGGATATCAAAAATTTTGTCGCTATTCGTGCAATAAAATACACGAGAGAAAACGAATAATATAGACACAGTATAAAGCACATTCTGCGCTTCTCTAGATGACACTATTCATAAACATAATTCTTTCATCCGCGACGGATTACAAAAAAGAACATTAAAAATGCGTTTCAGCGGTAGCAAGGAAAGGGACACCTGGCAAGATTGAAAACTCAAATTTTCAATGCTTAACCTGCTACGTAAGGAAGCTCGCCGTCGAATAAGAATGCGGCACTAGCTCTTTAGACGGTCGATGAGCGCACAACACCGCGCGACGATGATTAATGTCAATTCACTGCCGCGCGTCAAATACGATCACTTGTCTTCAGTAAATCGGCCCACTAACCGAGCATAGATCGTGCAATCTATATAGAATGTGTACATTTATGACAGCTCCGGTTGGTACACACAGGCAGATACACGACTCTATGAAGCTTGTTGATTTTTTCACATTCCCTTTTTTTTCTGTTTGAAGAATATTTTTACCACTTTTCGTAAAATAATAACTGTTCCAAATGACACTTTTTTTGATAAAATGAATGGTATCAATGTTTTTGTAACCTAATATAACTAAATTTTAAATTAAAATTGATCGCACTAAAAAGAATTAAGATTTAGATCCGAATCACGCACACGGTACACACAGTACTGCGACACTTTCTTTTACAACGTCAAATCCAACAGTCACGATCACGCAAAACTTTACCACTGATCAATCAATGAGTCAGTCAATTACCAGCTATCGTACGTGAAATTAAGAAGAAATGTTGAACAGATTTCAATCTCAGAAGATCCTTTGAGAGTACCTTTCTTCAATGTCGTTTTCTTTTTCCTCGAATCGGAAATGGCGCATTTCAATGAACACTACAAGAGAACGGCGCCACCACTGACCAATAATATTATTTTGATTTTATAATACATTCCTCTATATATAGTTAAAAAAGCATTTATTTATAATTTTAATAACGTAATAATTCTTTGTTTTATTACGATAAATTTTAATATGTATTTTAATAATATTTTAAATAATTTTTATTTCAAATTTTATATATATAATATTTAAAATATTTAATTATTAAAAATTAATAAATCATCAAATTATTGAATATTCAATACAGAACATTTAAAATTTTATAAAAAAAATTTATTAAAAATATATTTTTCAATTTGACATTATATTTAAGATTGTTTGATAAAATTAAATAAATTTTTATAAAAATTTATTATAGATCTAGTACATTTGTAGTTCTATGTATCTAGTAAATTTTTATGTCTAATAAATTTATTATTTCTATTTTTCATATTCATTTGTACAAATTTTTTTATAAATAATTATTAAATATAAAATAAATTTTAATTATATAAGTTTTAAATAATAAAGTTTAATTATAATATTAATTAATTTTTAAATAAAAAATATAAAAAATATAGGAATTTTATATATAACTATTAGCTACTCTGATTAACTCTGATATAATTGGTTAATTTTGAATATAAAGTTTAGAAATGGCCGCCAAATACTGGTTTTCCGTGAAATGCTATTTCTTATTTATAACTTTGTGAATGTGTTTATATGTGTCAAAAAAACGTGTATGCTTAATATTTTTGGGATGTACGAATAAGAATTATTTATATTGCATATGTATACATATATACATTATTTTATTTTATAAAATATTTCATTGATAAGCTAATACTTTGAAATTATATTTGTAATTTACATATAAAAATTTACTTTTTTTGTCAATTTTAATGTTAATTAAATTTATATTAAAATTCAAAATTATATAATTATTAAATTAAATTAAATACAATGGACAAATATCAACATATAAGAACATTTATATCGGCGGTTTTGGAATATACTAAACATCCTAGTGAAACAACTGCTTCAATTTTACAACGAAATCTTGGTGTAAGTAATTATTATATATTATTATTTTAAATGTTTTTAAAAAATTCTATTTTTCATATTTGTAATCTGTATAATAAAAATAAATTTTACAAAAACATAAAAGAATAAATTTTAATAAATAATTTGGTAAAATATTTTTTATAAAATTTATTTGAAAGGTAATAAGTACATCATTAGATTTGAGTATCTTTGATCCTGGAACCAGCATAGCAGCAGAATTTTATGTTAGTTTGCATGAGCTTATGAATTCTTTAGCATCTAGAACTACTTTAATTTGGAGTACTGTTGATGTTTTACAAAACGCTTGTCACAATGCTGCAGCAAGACAAGCTCTTATTCATACATATAAATTTGCACCTATATTGGCGAGATTGTTAGAGGTATATATTTATATTTATATATTAAATGATAAATAAGATATAATATAATAATATAATGTAGAAAATATAGAAATATATTTATTTTATTTTATTTGAGATCCATATTTTTTATTATAATAAAATTTTTTATTCAATAATTAAAAATATTAAATTTTTTTAATTTGTATATTTTGAATATTTTATATAATAATATATATATATAATATATATAATATAATATAATATAATATATTTTTATATAACAATTTCATAGGCAAATTTAACAAGTGAAAAGAGAATACGAGTATTAAAATTACTTCAAGAATTAACATATGGCATAAAAATTTCATGGCAAGAAGCTCATTTACCTTATTTGATATCAATATTAACACAATGGGTGATACAATCTAAAGAAGAAAATATTATTGCACTTTCATTAGGAGTATTAGTGAATCTTTGTTATAAAAATCTTCCAGCTGTATATGTACTAATGAGAACAATTGATACAAAAGCATTTATACGTACTTTGTTAAAATTGCAACATTGCAATGTTAATACCAGTGTACAATGTTGTAAACTATTAATTATATTAGAACATACAAATACAAATATTTCAGAAAAATATATTTTGGATTTTGCTGCTGTCACATTCAGCAGTCTTATTACTGCAATGAAACAAAAAGATGTTTTATTGCTAAAACACATTATAGATTTTTTTGATGATGTTGGACAAAATGAGCACTCTCATGCTGTGTTACTTACATATTCACAGTAAGTTATTTTATAATTTCCAATTCAATATTATTTGACATAAAATATTTCATTCAATAATTTCATTTTTTATTGTGTTAATTAGTTATGACAGAGATGTAGAAAATGTATTGGCTACATTAGAAGATAATGCAGATCCAGAATGTGTTGCTCTCATGATGGAATTTTTATCATCTCTAGTAAAATTAAAATTATCTGCTTTAGTGACTTTGTATCCTTTATGTGTAAAAACTGCTATGACTTGGGTTCCTGTAGAACAGGTATATTTTCATTTGAAATAAAGATAAGAATTATTATAGATTGTAACAATTATTTCTAAATTAGGTATGTTCCAAAGCATTAGCTTTGATAAGAGTTACTGTAATTGATGCACGACGCACTAAATCATCCTCTGAAGTCTTAGCAGAATTAGATGCTTCTGTTTTAATGCTTATAATAAATTCAGAAAATGATGAAGTTCAGGAAAAATGTGAATTAACTTTAGAAAGAGAAATAAAATTAGCAGAATTAATGCAACTATTTCAAGAAATGGTTAAAACTTCTACACTAAGGACAAAAGTAATGCAGTCCTTGAATGAACAAATGATACGTAAATTATTAAGTGCAATGTTAGATTCTGAAACATATGCAACTAATGATTGGCCAGGGAATTTTATTCAAGTACTAAATTTTTAATTCTTAAAATATAACTATAATTTTTTAATAAACATAATATTGGTATTATGTTTTCTAGAATCCTACTACAAGTTTATGTATTCATGCATTAGCATTAACTGCTGATTTAGCAGCTCATAATTCAAATTGGTTAACATTATATTCTGAGTTGCTTAGAAAAAAACAAATTCAAATGATTATGGCTCATGCATTATTTATTGGTGATGCAGATGTTAAACAAAAAGTCCTACAATTGACATCTACTGTAGGATTTCCCCAGGAATGGTAGGTTTCTACCATACTTTTTAATCACTTATCAAAGCACAAAGATTTTAACAGATACTGTCACTCAAATAAAACATTACTCTGTCTTCACTATTAAAATTAAATACTTTAGCAACATATTATTTTAATTTTTATTGATGACAACTCTAGACAAATTCACTATCACACGCAAATTGTATCCCATGTTTTTGTGTGACAAGTGTTTCCGCGGTGGCGCTTTGTATGAAGCAACTGGAGCCTTTGATATTGGTACAAAGTACTCCTGGAATGGTAACAAATATTGGAAGTAAAATGACTATAAATGCAAATAATGAAATGGCTCCACTGTTTTCTTTCGCACAAGAAGAACGGCTTGATGCATTTTTAGCAAAATTGAAAAGAACTTATGAATCAAATCAAATCAATGATATTACTACATCAGCAGTAATGGAATTATATGAATATAAGGTATATTTTTTAATATATTTTATTATAAACATAAAATAATTTTATATTTTTTATATTTTTATAACATAAAAGTTAGCAGCTATGAGACATGCAGAACGGGCTATGCAATCTAGTTTAGAAGCAGCAAGTAATCATGGAACCAGTTTACAGCATAGATTGGCGCAAGTAGTAGCTGAATCAAGCCGTTTACATCAAATGTTATTTGACACGCAACAATGTTTAGAAGGAGTAAAATCTACCTTAACTGTAAAACTTGCTGAAGCAGAAGAGCAAAGTAAAAAAGCAGTTGCTATAAAAAAACAGGTTGATATCATAATGAATCTATAAAATAAAAATTTAAGTCAAAACTTAAAATAGAAAAATTATGTTCATAGGAAATCGAAGGTTTAAAAAAGATAGTAACAGAAAAATCTACTAATATTGATCATTTAAATGTAGTGCTTGTGCAACATAAACATGAATTAGAAAGTAGTATTAATAGAATTGAAATATTAACTAAGAAAATAAAGGAATTGGAAGTTGAATGTTCAAATACAGATGCAAAAATTACAGAAATGACTAATAAAAATCATGAATTAAGTAAATTACTTCTTAAAATGCAGGACCAATTAAATAAAAAAGATCAGGTATGTTCATAAAGATTCAATTATTATAATAGAATTGCTAATATATATTCAATATCAAATAGGTAATAGAACTAAAAACTGCGGAAATTCAATCAAATCAAAAAGATATATCTGCACTCAAACAAGAAACTCAACAATTATCACAATTAGTAAATACATATGAAAAAAATATTGCTGAAAAAGAGGAAACAATTAAAAAAATGAAAGCAGAGTTGATGGATTTAAGTCGCATGCGAGATATGATTTTTGAACTTACTGCTAAGAAAAAGGAAGATTTAAGCACAAGCTAATATTATATTTTTATATCATAAAATTCATTTTCAAATTATCAAACAATTTGATAATAATTTTAAAAAAATTTTGTTACTTAAAATTTTGTTATATCTTTTTCTTACATTTTTAATATAAGTAATTGAAAAATAAATAACATACATGCACATATATATTAAGGACCAGCTAGATTGCATAATTTATTTTGTAAATATAATTTTGTCCTTTATTATCATTATTTAAATATTTTACATCTCTATATGTGTGTGTAAAATTCAGAAAGTAAGATATTTTTCATTCATTTTTAACATGAATTATCCTAATGCATGCATTAATCATTTTATTTTTGACATGAAAAATAATTAAAATTAAAATATAAAAATCACTGCTTATATAAATTAAATAGTTATTATTGCTTCTTTTTTTTTCCGCTTATCAAATATGATATAATAAACATTATACGCATATTAAATATGAACAAATTTTATATAAATTGTTTACTTTTTTTTAATTAAATGTTATTTGTTTAAACATTTTTATCGAATAATTTCTATAATTAATTTATATATATTACAAAACTAGTTACAATATAATACATAGTAACATAGTATTTTATACCAGAAATTATTTGCAATAATTATTTTTTTATGACATTTTATGTATAAATAAATTTTATGATTTACTTTATGATTTACTTTAAATTTTATTACTTTTTTTGTAAAGAAAATAACAACGTTTAAATATATATATACTATATTATTATCTTATTGTGTTATAAGAATTAGATTAGGATTACATTACAATTATATGTTATAATTTAAAATATCTAATAAAATAGATAAAAACAATTTAGAATACCAAAAATATTTCTCTATAATGCTTTATAAATTTTCATCTATATATATCCGAAGTAATCAAATTGCAATAATGCATTTAAGAGAATAAAGATCAATATTCACCTCAAACTTTCTCAATTTAATTTAATTCAGTAAACTAAATTTCTTTATAATTATAATAATTTATACTGCTTCTGAAATTGATTTCTATGTAATCCTAATTATATTTGTATTCAAAGACACAATTTTTTAATTATATTTATTATTTTACTAATAAATCTAATTATAAAAATTATCTTTATAAAGCTTTTTGTTTTCTTAACATAATAGGATTTTACTATAGATATAATATATATTATTTTTGTTAATATTTTTATAATTTTCATATTGAAATTTGTTCTTTATCATAAATTTTTTTATTTATAAATCATTTTTATTATTATACTATCATCATAAGAAATATAAAGACAATTTACATTTTGCATTTTGATTGCACAAAAGCTGTGCATATTTATCATTTTTTTTATTATAAAATAAAAATTCAATTATCCATTTAAGAATTATTAAATCTTGTTCTCTATCATATATTCTCTATATCAATCATTTTAAATGAATGATTGCTTTTATATACATATAAAATTCTTATATATATAAACAAGAATATAGACTCTTCAATATTTTTCATTTTATAAATATAAAAAATATTTTGATAATTTATATTTTTTGATAAGATTAAAATAATTAAATTATTTCTAAATTAGAAATAAATTTTAGATTATATTCATCTTTTTTTAAACCTAGTTATTATTATATTAATTAAAAATCAAAAATAAAAACTTTAAAAGTCATATTGTCATGTGAACAGTTTCATTGGAATGATACACAAAGTTCAATATTTGAACTTCATTAATATAATATTTAATACTGATGCAAATAAATTTTTACTAATTACTAATTTAGCTAATGTAATTGTATGTATTATTTTGTCAAAATAATATAATAACTCATTGATTGAAATATTTCATTCAATAAGAAATTATTAATATATCAAACTTGAAATTAAAAAAAAAACTTTGTGCCTAAATGACAGAAGCGGTCAATATTACAAAAATTAACTAAAATGAACTAAGCGCAATTCGATCCAATGGTAAATTATTTTCCATATTAAATATTTCGTGTGTAACGAAATTTTGTCATCAACTACTACCTCTACTCCATGGTTGTTCTGTGGCAGATGCAAAAATTAAATAAAAACAATTAGTTGCCATGTTTATTCCTGCTGCTAACCAGAATACTGTATGCCAACGTGCCAATGTTTCCTATAATGTATATGATAAAATATAATTATATAATAAATTTAATATTTTTATAACACATATAAAAATGTAAAATGTACTTATAACATGTAAAATATACTAACATGTCCCTGAACAATCATTCCAATAACATATGGAGCTAAAAATCCACAAGCATTTGCAGCAGCATTTGTAAGTCCATAAAGAGTTCCCGCAAATCGAGGTGCTAATGCAATATGATTCATTTGATTTCCTGCATAAACTGCACCTTGTAGAGATCCTAATCCAGCAAGCATCATCATAACCATCATACGATCACATTCAGCCCAAATAGCACCAATAAAACTGAGACTGGGTCCTAATGAAGCCACTGTGTTCCATAACTTGAACGATGTTAAAGGAGATAAAAGCTGACGGGCAAGGAGAGCATCTGCGAAACTTGAAATACCGAGACCGACTAACCAAGAACTTAAATAAGGCAGTGCTGAAAGGAATGCATCCTGTTGTACATCGAAATGCAAAATTTTATCCATATATGTTGGTAATTCTGTTAAAAGTGTATAAAACGCCCATGACTGTCCACATTGTGTAATAGCTATAGCCCACATAGGCAATGATGTAAATATTGATAACCAAGGAACTCCTGTATCAGTCTCCTGTTATAAAATATATTAATTAAATTTTATCTACTATAATAAAAATATAAATTTAATTTATTAAAATTGCAATAAACCTCATCTTTCTTTTCTACAGTAGCTTCAATGTATGCTCTTTCTAGAGGATCAATTTTTGTATGTTGTGCAGGTGTATCAAACACAAAAATTAGCCAAAATGCATACCATATAATACCAAGCCCTCCAAATAAATAAAATGCAAGAGGCCATCCACCCCAAAGTTCTAATGAACAAAGCCAACCACTTACTGGTAAAGATATGACAGTTCCAAAATTTGCACCTACATAAAAACAAATATGATAAATCAAAGTTATTATATTATAATGAAAGAAGAAATAATTACCTGCATATACTACAGCAGCAAATTTGCTTCTTTCTAAAGGAGGTACCCAGATTGCTAACATGCTATGCATTGCAGGGAATGTAACACCCTATTATAAAAAAAACAAAATTTTTAAATTTTTCAAATGTATTAATTTATAATATAGTTACCTCTGTAAATCCTTCTGCTACTCGTACAGCTAAGAATGGTATCAATCCTATATAAGCTGCAAAAGGACTAATTACAGTCAATACAGCAGTCAGAAATACTCCTAATCCATATATGAGTTTTCCACCAAATTTTTCCGCCATTCTACCACCAGGAACATTTGTAGTTACATAACCAATGAAAAAAGCACCCAATATAATACCTTGTGTTTTTTCATCCCAATTAAATTCTCCTGCACTCTTTGAAAATTTATATTACTTTTTAACATTAATAAATTGCAATTATCAACTTTTTTTTTAAAATTCAAAATTAATTTTGTTTATATTAGATTCTTATAAAATTTTTAAAAATTAAAATATCATTTTCAAAATATATTAGAAATATATAAAATTAAAATATTTTGACTAAATATTTAAAGAACACAGATATATAATAAGATAAAAGCAGAAAATGTAGGCGTTAAAAAACATGTTGATCTGTTTAGGTCATACTAAAAATGATAAGTTTGCATGAATAATATGATGATAAAGGCAAAACTAATGTTAACATTTGATTCGCATATTATAAATATAGAATATTACACATATTACATATATAGAATATTAATATATAGAATATCAAATTATAAAATATAACTTAATACTTAAACATTTATTACATTATGTATATTACTATTTATATTATATTATATTATATATATATATATGTTTACATACTATATTAAAAATATGTTTAATAAAATAAAAAAATATTTGTAACATATTAAAATATTAGCTAAAAATAATTGATTAATTAAAATTATAAACCAATAAACTTACTGGTATAAATGTTCCATTAATTGGTTTTTCTTTAGGACAAACATCTGTAGTATCATTATCATCATCATGTGGCACTGCTGTTTGATTAACCATTGAAACAATAGCCACAGATAAATTCACTCTCATGGCATACACAAGTGCAAATCCTAGAAATCCTAAAAAACCTAATGTATGCCTTGCTTTTATACATGATTTTGTATCAGGTGGAATATCTGGTATAGTAACTAAAAATAAAATTTTACATAAATTTATTAAAATTATTTGATAATTGTAGAAAATGTACAAAATTTATATTCTTTCATAAATTCTTAATTATTTTAAATTAAAAAATTTTTAAATCTATATAATATTTTAATCATCTTCTTTTGTAATTGCTAATTCAATTTTATTAATATAATTTTTTTTCTTTGTTAAAATATGATTAAAATTATAATGCAATTGAAATTATAATATATATATATATATGCTCTATATATAATATAATTATATATATATATATTTTAATATTAAATAATATATGTTTATATTAAGATATTTAGAAATATTAATTTTTAATAATTATAATGCTATTTTGAGTTAACCTGGTATATCTTCTGATAATTTTTTATAAAATTTTTGATTCTTTCTCTTTCTTGACATTTGTTATTACGTGTTTTTAGTATATTTATATACTTAATTGCAAAATTTTTATTTATATATTATAAATATATTAAAAATAAATAAAAATTTAAGGCATAATCATAACACACATTCTTAAAGAAAAATAATCATTAAAAAGTTTTCAGAATATTTCCGATTTATGATGCGCATAAAATAACATAGAAATTGCTTGACAGCTGACAGTATTACGAATAATTTATGTGTCACCCTATCAATTCTTTGTTTCCAAACAATGCCTTCCCACGCTACGAGATTTTTGGAAACCTTGAACATCTTTATATACAATAATATAAACATAAATATTAAAAAAGAATATTTGTATACAAATGAAAATAAACTGCACAATTAATGTAATAGAAAAATATTAAAAACATACCTTTTTCCAAAGAATCATTAACACACAAAGGCTGATCATCTCTCGAGATACTAGGATCTAATACTTCCATGTTGTGCGCTTTTTTTTTAACACTTAACACTTTCACAAAGAATTCATCGAATTTTAACCATTAAAGATATATTTTATTTACATATAATTATGTTTTTTTCATTTATACCATGATATGATAGTACAATGATATGTAATTTAATAAAGAAATTGTGTAAAATTTTAACGGTGATATGATGCGTATCAAGTAAATTGTCGTCTGCTGTCATCATCGCTGGCGCGAATTGCTGCGCACTCACTCATTTAAGCTTAATACGTACATATTTAAACTCGATTGTATATAAGTATTTGCTTACACGTTAGTTGCGCAGGCGCTTTATTTTTTTAGAATTTTTTATGTTTAATAAAATTAATTAAAATATAAATTAAAATGTAATGAGTATGTTCGATAATTAAAATGTATTGTAATAAAATTATATTATATAAAAATTGTAAATTTTGCTATATTTTAGTATATATAAATAAAATATAATTATATATATATATATATTGTAATGTATTTTATACTACAAAATTACAATAAATTTCATAATTGCAAAAGAAAAAATTGATTACGTAAGTAACTTATTATCTACAATAACTTAACTTATTATATAAATCGCTTTAATGATAATAAATTATTTAATAAAATTTATTATATATATTTCAAAGAAAATTAATATAATAAAAATAAAAATAATTATTTTATAAATACTATTGATATAATTGTAATATTTTATTATATTCAAATATTGAAATAAACTTACTTTTTCTATTTGATTTCATTATAAGATATATTAGGATATATTATAGAAAGAATTAAATTTCAGAATTTCGTAAAATTATTTATAATTTAATTAAAATAATTGTTTATGTTAATTGTATGCAAAATATAATAATAATATTGCAATAATAATTATAAATTCAGTAATTTTATAAATTAGCTAAAATTAATAGATAAATTATTTTTTTTTTTTAAGGAAAGTAGTACTGGTTATAATATAATTATATTTTTTTTATTAATTGTTATAATTCAAGATTACTACAACAGCGAATATATTTTTTTAGTGGAATGCAATGTCAATTCCAATAATGAAAGATTAAAAAAAATTATTTAATGTTATTTTTGTTAATTAAGATGAATAATTACATATAATATTTAATGAATTTTTTTCGTACGTTCTTTAACTATGTAAATTCTAATTTTTAAAAATTTTTTTGAAAATTATGATATTTTCAAAAAATTGTGCTGTTTGTCATAATACTATTTTATTATTCTATCATTTCACTACTTATAATGAGTAATTTTTGTTATTTATTGGAATTTTATAAACATGAAAAATATATAAATATTAATTATAATTATATTAATTATACAAATAATTAATATAATTAATAAAACCCTATAATAAGAATAATATATATTATTATGTACTGTAATTTCTAATATTATAAAAATTTTATCTTTCCTAAATAATAAATTTTTTATTATTTTTAAATTCAAAATATTTAAAATTACATATAAGTATATTATTTTTTTTTAAATATAATACACATATGTGTGAAATATCTATATATACTAATTTCTTTGATTTAAGTATTATATAATTATAAACATAATTATAATAATTAAAAATTATATTATAAATTATAAATTGCTTTATATTTAATAATTTTCAAATTAAAGAAAAAAATAAATTTCAGAAAATAAATAATATATTGAATTATTTTATAATAATCACTTAAGTACTGTTTTATATTTCATATAACATATTTAATATATTATATATTATAAACAAAATACTATTTATATATTATAAAATAATATAAATAAACTGAAATTGTAAATTTTTAATACCTAAAACCACAGCACTTGTAAATTTAAACTTATAACATTTCATTATTCTTATTTTACATTATAAGTAAATAAAATAAAATAATTACATTTAATTTATGATTTATCCAATAATATTTCTATAATATAATATATAAATTTTAATTGGTAATACTAAAAACAATAATTAAAATTTTTGCATTTTAAAAAAAAAAATATTTTATAATTTATTATATATAATAAAATTCTTAATTCATATATGATTTTGATCAATTAAATATAAATAAAGTATTCGTAATTCAAATATATAACTATATAATAAATGATAATCATTGATTTTTATTGAGTTATATGGAAAATAAATAAAAATAAATATAAATTTGGATTATTTCACTTGTTTATATATATTATACCAATAAAAGAACATAAATAAAAAAAATGTAAATAGAAAACAAGTAAAAAATACAAAATTTAAATGTAAAATTTATATTGATTGAAACATAGAATATTATTTAAAAAAATAGAATACAAAATGTTCCACTTAACTCAATATAACAATCGATTTTAACATTAAAAACTGATATATTTTTAATATAATGATATTGAAAATCTTATAATTTGGCTATTTTTTAACTATATATAAATAATATCAATCAGTATTAATTAAAATAATCTAATTAATAATTGATGCTAATCTAACACTATTTCAAATATCTATATATAAATACATAGATATAGTATGATGAAAGGAACGTCATACCATGATAATATTTTCTATAATGTATTTTCTTTGGTAAATAAAATAAATAATTCATTAAAATAAAATAATAAAATAATAATTGGATACATAAAATAATTAAAGTTAATTTTAAATTTATATATATTTTCTTGAAAACAAAAAATTAAAATTTAATAAGAAAGGAATTATTATAATATTCTAAAAATCACAGAAAATATGATAAACATAATATTTAATTATTTCATGTTTAATTAATTCAATAAAAAATTATTAGAAAATCCAAAAATAGATAGACATAATTAATTGATAAAATATTTAAGAAATGACAATAAAAATCTCAGATCTTGTATTAATATACAAGAATTTCTCTTGCACAAAATATGCTAGATAAAATTTAATGTTAATATTAATGTTTCCAGAACCAAATTTCATTTATAAAAACGAAATTTATTAAAAATGCTACCAGAGCATTAAATATTGAGATATTCTAATATATATACGGAATTAGTTTTTTACATTAATGATTATTTAAATATATTTTTATTACCAACCCACTGTAGAAGGAACATGAGAACCAACTGTAAAATCTTTGTATTGGGAAAAAACACAAATCTAAAAAATATATTAAATAAAATTGAGAAAGAGGATTTAATATTATATCAAAAAATATAGATAAACTAACCTTATCTTTTAATCGTTGACAAAGTTGCAATGCTATAGTAAGCAATACTAAAGCATCATTTAACCATGGAACACTACATTCTGCTTGCTGTGTTTCATATTTAACACTTCCATGTGCATTTTCCAATTGATATATTGCTAAGACTAATTTATAACTTTGGATATAAAAACTAATAGCCAAATTTTCTGGAAGATTAGGATTTAATGATTTCTGCAATAAAAAAATTTAATAATTTACATGAAGATATATGAATTATATAAAATATCTTACAATTTGAATATAAAAATATATAAAATATTTTGAAATAAAAATTATATTTTATTTGTTCCAAATGTTTTATATTATTTAATCATTTTCATGTATTTAGAAATGATAATAAATACATGAAATATTGTAATTAAATATTTACTAAAAACATTCACTTACCATATTACGACTTTTAATCAGATCATCAATGGTTTTCTTTCTAGGAACAATTAAACTAGTACGACTGCGTTGAAGACAACCAAGAATATTTCCTAATACATGCATAACTTCATCAGATGTTTTAAAAGGATAATGTCGATCAACATTATCTATGTGAGCAATTGCTTGTTGTAAATGATTAGCAGCATCTTGTATTTGTTGTAATTTCCAAGGATGTTCTGTTTGTATACTTGTCCTCATATTAATATTTTGCTGACGTTGTATTTTAAAATTAACTTCCTATAAATGTTTTTTTAATTATAAAATATAATTAATTCTATTAATTAGTTACTAATACAATATCATATTAATAATATTAATTATATTGATATTAATATTAAATAATATTAGTTACAAAATAGAAAAATAATTGATATTTACTGCATTTGTAATACTGTCACCGGTTAAAACAGCTACACATTTCACTTGATCATGTGGTGCAGCAAATACAAATCTGTCCGTTTTATTATGTTGATCATTGCCAAATAATGCTAATGGAAATCTTTGTGCACATTCCTGTAGTATAAAATAAAATAATTAATAAAAAATAAAATAATTATTTCTTTAATTATTTTATTAATAATTCTAAATATGTCTTTAACATACCATTAAAATATTCCTTAGCTGTGATAATGAAGAATGAACTTCTTCATGAAGTACCCATTCAAATTCCATTTGCTAAAAAAATTGTATAAAATTTTAATTGTTATTGTTTTAAATTTTAATTTTAAAAAAAATATTAATTCAGTAAATTAATTAACATTTAATTTATATATATATATATATATATATATTATAAAGAATATATCAATATGTAATATAAATTTTAAACTATTACTTTTACTTATTTATTATAAAATAAAATAAATTTAAAATATTATATAAATTCTATATGATATAATTGTCATTTATGAAATAATTTATATTATATATATATATTAATTATGTTCATTTGCAAGTATTTTATATATCGTTTTGTGTCTTATATTTGCTAAGTTATAATCTTACATTAAATGAATATTTTTAAATAATCAATTGTTATTAGTGAATATTATGTTTCTTGATTAAGTTTAATATATATTTAATATATATATGTATATATATATATATGTATATTTATAAACTTTTGAAATAGAACTATTAAATTATACATATAAATAAGAAATAACGATATTAAAATTCATTACAGAGAGAACATAACCACAAAGAACATTTTAACAAGAACAGCAAGAGTAAATTGATTAGTTCGACGATAGATAAGGTAACACTATCATCACGAACCGCGAGACGATGAGGTCGCCTAAGTGATTAGATAAACGGTAGACAAAGGCAAATAGCTTACGAGATTGTGAGCCTCCTCCTTCTCGCAGTCAGCCATTTTCTCTATCGGGTGATGCTTCTAGTTGTTTCCTAGTTACAAGTTACAACGTTTTAAGTATATATGTGCCTAATCTTCAAGTTTCTTTTATTAATTTCTACTTTTTTCTTCATCTACCTCGTTTGTCACTCATTCTGCAATCAAAGATTATCGTTACATTAAAGACGGAAGATAAATCTGATCATCTACTCTGATGTGAAATTTTGCAATCTGAAATAGATAAATCGTTATCATTGTAAGATATTTTTACATTCTAGAATTAGTAATTAAAGAAATTGACTTATTGATAAATAAATACCAATGAACATAAATGAAACACATGTATTACTGTACATAAGAAGTATCTTGTTATCTAATTTCTTATGTATCTTCTTATGATCAAGTTCATAATATATGATTTTTAAATATATAAATAGTATCAAAATCAATTATTTTATATATTTTACACACACACACACACACACACACACACACACACACACACACACACACACAC